CTTTTCCACAGTTTTTGGTTTTAATCAGGTTGGAAGTTATGTCTTCAACCAATCTTTTGGCTAAACCAACCAATCTTAATTTGGCACAGTTTTTACTCAATCTATAACTGTATGATGTGTACCAATACAATACAGGGGGAGGGATGGCCTAGTGGTTAGAACACTGCATTCCAGAGGTTCTGAGTTCCCCCACTGTGGCAGACTGCCATTCTATGTCCCTGAGCAAGACTCTTAACCCTCACACTGCTCCCCAGGCTCCGCACAATGGCAGCCCACTGCTCTCCAAAAGGATGAGTTGAATGCAGAGGTAAATTTTTCCAATGTGAGATCAATAAAGTCCAATCTATATATCCTAACTCTATCCAATTGCTATCCTACAAACTCCCATATCTTAACTGTATATTGATGGTGTTTAAATGACTGTCAAAGTTCCAGGCGAGCTGAACCACTTTCCGACGCAGTCACTAGGTATGGAGGGGTAGCGAGGCTTCAGACGTCATCTATTTTGGCTCCTCCTATATGCACTGTGCGGAAACTCCCCTTCTAGTACTCGACACATGCCTCAAAGCCTCGGCTCACCTCATAACATCACTAAAAGAAACCACCTCAGCCTCAGTCTCTGCACTTGGGTCCTCTTCAAACCTCCACACAATCTGATGCAGAGCCGATGGAACAATTTAGACCCTAGCACATTCATATACTAGAATGGAATAGTAAAGTTTCAAATCCAGTTGAAAATTTTGGGTTAAGACTTGGAAACTATCGAAGAAAATCTCCAATCTAATGAGACTGAACTGGACTTTTTAATGAGGAGGAATGTGATTCAAGTGGGCTAAATACAAATGCATACACCATTTTAAGAATTTATATTGTAAAACCTAATGAATAATAGTCCTTCGCCTCCACATTAATTTACTCGGTTGGTTATCGCATGCAATAAGAAAAAAATACTGAGGTCGGCAGTTATGGTATAATAAAATATTATTAAGCTAAAAAAGTGTGAATACTTTTGGCACTATAAAGTGAAAAGAGGGGGAATTGAAAGAAATGGGTAACAAAAATCATCCTTTGGGAACTCTTTTCCCTTAGTTAGTGTGTTATTATATAAGTATTGCAACTTTCTACAGAAGGTTGAGGGTGTAGTATCAGGTCAAGGAAGTCGTAAAAGGTCAAAGAGATAAGGGAAGTTATCGGAGGCTTTAGTTTGCATTCAGTAGAAATACAACATTGCATCAAGACTGGGTGGACCATGTGCTGCTTTAGTTGGACATCGTGTAGTGTCCTTGCAAAAGAAAAACATTTTTTACACTTTATATTTTACATATTGGACAAATTAATTATAACAATTATTGTGCAAAAGAAAATTAAAAAATTTAACTCTGACATACCCCAAAAAAACTTTGTTTAAAGAATCCAAACAAACAAAATACTATTTGAAAAAGCTGTATTGTGCACATACAGCTGAACAATTTTCATGTAGAAACATACTTTGGTGTTGTGTGATATTCCTCTGGGCATGGATTCTATTTCTCTAGAAAGAGGAAGTTATTTCCTAGAAGTGCGGCTATTGAGACCAACTATTCAGCCACAGCAATGTTTTTTTTTTTTTACTCATGGCCTCTGACATTCAAGCAAGGAGAGTTTTTCTGCCATTCATGAAAAGGCAGCTAAAATTTGAAGCACACTAAATTTAGTGCTCGGGTGTAACTGACACTTCAAGAAATTGGTGCGAGCAACTGGTCCCTATCTAATAATATGTCCTTCAGACAGATGGGTTTGTATTCCTGTCATTTAAACCCTGCTGATTCATACAGACAGGGATATTTGCAGCCCCCCCCAAAGAAAAAACATTTGCTTACTGGTGCTGTCACTTCCATAACTTTGATCCACTCCATTTACATGCACCTGAAATACCCCTGACAAAAGATGTACTCAGAGCACCCTTCTGACTCTAGTGCTTTAACATATGGGTACAGATAAACAGAGGTGTGGATCACGATCAGGATTGAGTGATATATTTAGCAGTGTCCTGCTAAAGTTGCCACTCCCTAAATATTTTTCCTATTAATCACATCACAACTTCAACCCTAATTATTTCTAACAGAAGGGGGTAGAATACCCAAAATTGTACTTAAGTAAAAGTAGCACTGCTTCATCATTTTTACTCAAGTAAAAGTAAAAAGTGGCTTTTAAAGAATTCACAATTGTAAATAATTGTTTAAAAATAGCTTTTTTTTTTTTCATTAGGTGAAGTTACTCATAACTATTAACCTGACATAATGGGCTTTAAAGTTCTGACCCACATGCAGAGAACCACTCAGAGATTACGGGTTAAAGTTCACCAGGGTAATTGTAGGTTAGCAAACACTAATGGAGATTGAAACTCAGTGGGGAAACAATGCTGGAACTCAGCGGACCGGTGAACCGGAACCGGAAACTCTGAAGGGGAGATCCCAGTGATCAGTTCAGGGTGGACAGTGGGAAAATAGACTGAGGCTTGTATATTGCTGGAGAGGCACTTACTTTTGGGGGGCTCTTGGTTTATCCTTGGATCCAGTTTGTGGGGGTTTAATCTAGAGAAGAAGGAACTTGTTTGAGAGCGGACAGGCAGACATAGGTTAGACCCAGGGGAGTAAAGGAGCGGACTGTCAATTGGTTTTCCAGGAGTGGACTTGAACGGATCATGTGGAGGTTTTCCCCTTGCTCAGTGAGACTCAGTAAATCCTTCCAGGGGTAGACGGTCCAGGCTTATCCAGGTACACAGGAAGTCTTCCTGCCGAAGAACAAAGACAAAATACAAGTTCAGACTCAAAGAAACAATGTTACAGTTAGACTCTGCTAATCTCAGTTTAACTAGAGTACCCAATACTGGCAAACACTCTGGCGGCGAGGTAGTGACAGCCAGCTGCTCAAGTACTCCTCTGGTAATGACCCAACAAGCTGCAGGTGTGCAGGGAGGCCCAACAAGGACAGGGCACCGCCTGGTGGTGGAGAGAGGAAAACACAAAAAACAACCCACACAAACTGGAATCCTTAACATAACCAGAAATTTTAATTAAGTAAAAGCAATGATTCTTTAAATGTTTTTACTCAAGTAAAGTACAACAGAATAAAACTACTCATAAAAGTATGTCTTTTTCAAAAAGTTACTCAAGTAAATGTAACTGAGTAAGTTAACTAGTTACTACCCACCTCTGATTTCTAAAGTATTGAATATGACAGAATAACACATCGGTGTGAATCATTGCATAGTGTGAGAAAGTGAAACATAATTTTCAGTCCTTAAAAATCATTCCTTTTTTCCACCAGCTTTGCCCATCTGCAGACTATCCTTTTGCTTTTTGCTCTTGGTCAAGATTCTTCTAAATTTGGATTGGGCCATACTATCACATCTTTATCCTTTAATCTAAATGATTTTACTGTTGCTCTGGTAGTACAGTATGTTTATGTTTTTTTTGTTGTTGTTGTTTTTAATTCAGCTGGAAAGGGAACCTTCACCACAGTCTAAACTGTTTTGGAACTTCTATCATTTGAGCGCCACTCATGATTGCAGAATTTCCCAATGGAGTTCTGGATGTCAATTGGTCCTTCAGAGTTATCACAGACCTCTTGGCACCTTCTCAGATTAATATTTTAGGTTACACCGAGGATAAGCTTTTAAGTCACTAATGTTCTCTAACAAACTTCAGAGAACCTACAAAGATGTAACTAAAAACATAACGTCAGACACACTCCGCTTTGTTTTTAAAAGATATAAATATAAAAAATATAACCACGGATGTCTGGGGGACTGTGATTCGCCTACATGTTATGAATGCTGTCGTACCATAAATGATAAATTATGAATAGTTTAGTTTACCCATAGGAAGACGTTATTTGGATATAACCTAATATCTTAAGAACAGCTCTAAATTACACAAAACTCATATGGTTTAGTAGAGCACGATGTAATAATGTAAAATCAAGGGCCCAATTAAAAAAAAAAAAACGACGTTCCCCTTTAAGGTTTATAAAATGGCATGCAATTTCCAATGAAAGAGAGAGGTGTGTTAAAGGAGAAGGCGGAGATGGAGGGAGAAAAGAAGGAGCATGCCATTCAAACAATAACGTGCGCGGGAAAAGCAGGGCAGATAAACGTGGAGCAGGGCGGGGGGAGGGTAGATGGAAGTCTTTTTATCTCCAGTTTCCCACATCCTGTGAATGGGCTTCAAACACGGCCACCCAATTTGAAAGAATGAGCGGAATGCGCCTTTTCCCCCCTCCCAGTGCGCTGCAGTGATGCGCAGTTTGAGAGACAGGGCCAAGAAAGAGGCAGGGAGTTCTTCGCAGCCTTTAAAATGCTTTGTTCCATGTGAAACCAGTTAGGTAAATAGCGACTTGAGTAGATGAAACCGTAAATAATGAGCTGTCTTCTGGTTACTTGCGCTTCGTTGTGCAAAATAGTCTTGAGTTAGTCTGACTGCAGATCTAGTGGCGGGTTTTTTAGGGGAAACATGGAAAGCACAAGACAATTATTAATAATAACCTATACTATAAAAACTATATATATATATATATATATATATATATATATATATATATATATATATNTATATATATAGTGGTATATTTGATTAATACATATTTATTACCTATTATTTAAAGGTTCAACAAGAATTAAGCAATAAAATGGATTAATGTAAAATTAAACAGACTATTTCTTTATATTATTTGTGCCTTTTTCTATTTAATGAGCAAGGTTGGGAATTTACATCTCCCTCCAACAAGAGTTCATAATCACGCATCATTCAACCTCTTTTGGCGCGTTTTGATTCCCGCCATGTCTGGCTGGCCCCGTTGTTTATAAATGTGTCTCTACTTTCATGGTATGATTGACAAGTGTTTGGAATCCTAACTGCTTCCCCATTGGCTTAAAGGACCAACGAAGGCGGGGTTAATTGAGAAGCTGGGGCGTACTGTTACGCCTTCGACTACAATATAATACTCCTACCCCCACTTTTTGTTTCCAGGAGCCGGTGTCTGACCACGGCACAGGCGTTGTATCTCGGAGGATATCTACCACGTTTTACTCATCTGTTCATAAATGTTTCGAGGACAATTGTGCTTTCTATTTTTATAAAGTCCCACTGAGCGGCTGGCGGAATTTTTGTTGTCTGGATGAAAAAAATCCTGCCGCATTCTTTTTTTGTTGTGGTTTCTGCAACGTGCCCGGCCAGCCGCGTTTCATCTTCTTCATCTTTCATCGGAATAAAACATTACAACCGTTGCCGCCAGTAATCGCTGAGCTGGATTTAATTGAAGAAATGCTGCTTTCCAAGCTGAATTCTCTGGCTCACATGTCGGCCGTGGATATGCCGGCGAAAATGCAGCACCAAATCCAGCAAGGTTAGACGCCCAGTTTTCTTTTCTTCTTCCGTCCATGGAGGGACGGGGCTACAGCGATGGCTGCCGCACATTTCTAAAGCTCTGCTTGCCTATCAATAAGGATAAGGACTTTCACCGGCTCTTGGTAATCAGCGAATGTCTCTTGTTTTTGTTACAGTGAAGGAGAAGGAGCCTTTCGAGAAGCTTTATCAGGTCGGCGCGGTTTTGGGAAGCGGCGGCTTCGGTACCGTCTACTCCGGTACAAGGACATCCGATGGAGCCCCGGTTAGTCCGCTTTCAAACTTTATGGTTCTATCAGCATTACAATATAGCTTACATTTTAAATGTTGTATTGATTTTTGACGTGGTATCTTTTTGCCGCCAGGTCGCTGTTAAACATGTATCCAAGGAAAGAGTGACGGAGTGGGTAGAGCTGGTAAGAAACTTCCTCTAACCGTGTGGTTTTATAGGTGATATTTGTGTTTTCTTTTTTTAATTTATATGAAATGTATTGGTTTTTGTTTAGGCTAACGGCTCACGGGTTCCGCTGGAGATCATGCTCTTAAAGAAGGTCGGAACGGGCTTCCGCGGTGTCATCAAAATGCTGGACTGGTTCGAGCGGCCCGACAGCTTCATCATTGTCATGGAGAGGCCCGAAATAGTCAAGGACCTGTTCGACTTTATCACTGAGAAGGGCGCTTTGCCCGAGGAACTGGCGCGGAGCTTCTTCCGCCAGGTGCTGGAGGCTGTGCGGCACTGCCACAGCTGCGGCGTGGTGCACCGGGACATCAAGGACGAGAATATCCTCATTGACCTCCGCACCGGGGAGATGAAACTCATCGACTTCGGCTCTGGTGCCTTGCTCAAGGACACATTCTACACAGACTTTGACGGTAAGATGATGAAAACAAAAATATATTAGAATATTTCTAACCCTCTAAATAAAAGTAGGCCTTATTATAACTCGATAGCAGTAAGCTTGTCGCCCCCTAACGATACAAAGTGGTATTTTTACAACTCAAAGTTTGTAAACAAAGTCACGTGTCTGCTCACCCCCTCCCATATGGCATCCGGTCTCAACACAAACAGCAAGTCACACCAGTCTTGCTGTGTTTGCCATAAACACACTCAGCTGCATTTTAAATACTTTCGTTTTCAATATAATAATATTAAGCTAATCTTATTTGGTTGTGCTTACTATTATTATAATTAATAAAAATGAATAATAATACATTAATAACTAATAATAATCATCTGCATTTAACCGATCCCCATTGCTCTAACCACTAAGCCTACACTCCACTTTCTATTTAGTGTGATGCATCTGCAGTGTTGTGTGTGTAATTGTAATATGCATATTATACTGAGTTGCATTGTTCCTTTTCATCAAGAAGGTTATTGGTTCGATTCCTAGCTCAGGGTCTTTATGCATGGCATTTGCATGTTCTTCAGGTGCATGTGTGGGTTCTCTCCTGATACCCCAGCTTCCTCCCACAGTCCAAAAATATAACTGTTAGGTTAATTAGCATATCTGAATTGTCCTTAGGTATGAGAGTGTGTGTGTGCATGGTGGTATGTCTTTGTGTGCACCGCTCTCTCTGATGGAAAAAGTGGAGGAAGATTGATAGATAATAATAGTCCCCTTTTATTTTGATTTTGTTTGACAGGCACAAGGGTGTACAGTCCACCTGAGTGGATTAAATTTCATCGCTACCATGGTCGATCTGCCACTGTTTGGTCCCTGGGAGTCCTGCTGTATGATATGGTGTGTGGAGACATCCCGTTTGAACACGATGAGGAGATCATAAACGCACAAGTTCTGTTCCGGAGGAAAATCTCCACAGGTAGCCTCCAGTTCCTGTGACCATCTTTGACAGTAGTTGTGATTGCTTTCTAACTTGGTGTCGCTCCCTTCTCCAGAATGCCAGCAGCTCATCAAGTGGTGCCTATCCCAGAGGCCTGCAGACCGCCCATCCCTCGAGGACATTATCAACCACTCGTGGATGCAGAACACCTCCCCTTCAGTGGTGCCCTCCACAGCACAGACAGAGAAGTCGGTCACAGAGATCAGGCTGCACAGCATCGCCCATGAGCCTACCACCTTCATACACACCCCAGTGGCTGTGGCGGTTGCTCGATGAGAGGGTGTATCTTCGGACTCAACAAAAAGGGACTTTTACAAAAAGTTTGCGTAATAGACTGCAAAAGAGAGAGTGTTGAGGACTGAGGTCCTCACAAGAGCCTCTGCACGTCGCCAAACGGACTCCGATCCATGTGATGGGTGTTCTTGTGCTCCCCAGGAGGGAGGTTGCAAACATCTGCAGCCGAACAGGACATAATCCGGCCGTCCAGTGGGACAGCAGGCGAACAGCGCAAGTTATGTAAACTCTCGCCATGCAGCATTCCAGTCACTTCCTCCACAAAAGGAGTGTTGGAGTCATTGGTGATGAGTGTGAAAAGTACCATATGTGAAATTGTTGTAGGCAAGGGGATCCTGGAAATACTTGAATTTCTACAAACAGAAGTACTGCAACCTTTTTGTTCTTTATTTACTCCTTACATGGCTTGTCTTTTCCCCCCTCATTGGCCTAGATCAGTTAAGCCAATGTTTTATGTTTTTTACAACCACTACTATCACCACTACTCTTATGTCATTAGCAACCAGACAACCTCATAGTGCCTGCAGCAACTTTTGCAAATGGAATCAAGAAAAAGACACGGGTCTCACCTCAGTCTGTTTACATCCACCTCTACTACACAGCCTTCCTTCCTCCTCACCTTCTTCCTGTGTTATTTTCACAAATACACAAGGCTTAATGCAAGGTGTTTACCTTCATCAACCTGAGTGCACACAATGCAGATCTGACCTTACAAACACCCTCTGCTCCTTAGATGCTTGGATTCTTCTTTTTTTGGGTTGGGGAGGGGGGTATGTGCCTCACATGGGTCTTCAAAGTTCGGTGAGGATAGGAATTGTAAATCAAGATATTTATTTATTTATGAGAGAATTACGCCTTTCTACAAATAGATATATTTCATCCACAGTCACTGAAGGACTCACAGATTTTTTAAGAGGAGGAGTTTTGCTTTTGTTTTTTTTGTGACCATATTTATAATGGCTTGAAACACAGATCAGATGTTTGTGTATGTCATGTAAATAAAGTAAATAGTCCTGAAAAGCACTTCCAATTTCTGAGTCTACTGATGGTGAACCATGTTGTTAATATTGAACGGTATGTGTGTGGATGATCACATTTTTGGTTGTGTTTTTATTCCACCCACTTGATTTACAGTTGTAAATTATGTTAGAAACTATTTTTATATGATTTTAATAAATATGTTTTATTAAACTATGACTATTGACTCATGCGTTTGATGCCCCTGCTACATGCAAGCTGTGTGTTATGAACGCCTACACAACTTTAGTGGGTTAGAAGGTTATAGAACTTCCTGTTTGACACTTGCAGAAAAACAGGCAACGCAGGAAGTTGACGGATAGATAAGAGGTGGCAGATAGCAGTGAAAAAAGCCTAAGGTGTTTATGTGGTTTCAGAGATGTGAAAACACATATATTACAGGCTTTGATGATGCTGAGCTCATATAGAAACTGTCTTAAGCTTCTAGGCTAAGTTCTTTATTTACAGCTATACTCAATGATGGTGTGTTCAGGGGACCATGAGCTATGCACAGCTCCTCTATTTCCTGAATTTAAGACAGCTCTTTTTTTCTCCTGTCTTTTCCTGATGGATTAACTGTTTAATCCAGGTGTGCCTAACCTCAGCAACCATGGCACAGCTGGATCAATCAATGTATCCAGTAATGAACACCAGGAAATAAAAGAAGTGCCTTAAATTCAGGAAGTAGTGGAGTTGTGCTTAGAGCCCATTTAACTACTGAGCACACTTCCTCAGTATTTCTTGTTTCTGTCATGCAAACAGCATTTTTTATTTCAGTCAACAAGTTCTCTACTGGATTAAACTCCCAGATGCATGCTCTGTAAAATTGATCATGGTGATCTAAAACTAAGATGCCTGCTTCCCGCTGTGTTGGAACTAACTAAATCACCATTATGTCACGATCAGAACTTCTGCACTGGAAAAACGATCTAGAAATAAGTAAACATTTCTCAAATTAAGTGTATTTACCTATAATTTGAGTAGGTAAATGAGATAGTTTACCAATGGAATGAGTATTTTTACTCTTAAAATAAGATATTTAGATAAAATGCACTTGAAATAAGAAATGCAACTGTGTTTTCTTATTTTAAGTGTACATTGTCTTGTTCCATTGGCAAAATTTCTCTTTTACCTCCTCAATAGAAGAACAAATGCACTTATTTTAAGAAAAAAACGACATATCTAGATTTTGATTTTTCCCAGTGTGGCTGTTGGTCCACAGTTTGAGTAAAAAAAAAAGTCACGCTGGGATCAAAGGATGTAGCAAATCTGTGATAGTTGAACGCTAAATTAAATAATACTAGTACGGTAAGTTTTTATCCAAATTAGAAATTAGAAACTACTTTTGAAAACTTGGGACTTGAAATTATGTCTTTGTCTTATACTGTCTGAAAGCTACCCAAAGACTTACAACCTCAGTGTGAAGCTCTAAAAAAACTGTTATTATTTGATCTAATCTGTATGTAGTTTGATTTATTTACTTATGAGAAATTTAAGTAGCAATATGGTCTAACAAAAGAATGAAGATGTACAACAAACGACAAATATTCTTCCTCTAACCAGAATACAAAGGGAGTGGGTAAGAATAATGGGAGCAAATTCAGCATCTTACAATTCAACTAAGCTCTGAGAAAGTCTGAGACTCTCAGTGTAAAAGTTAGTCCATTCTAATTTATGGCTCTGTCAAAGAATGGGAACCAAAGGCAGGAAAAAAGGTTAAGCTCCATCCTTGTAGATATTTGTTATACTTCACTCTCTCTGTGGACAGGAAATGATTAGACTTGGACAACATTTACTATCATTTTGTATACACAGATGTATAGAAAACAAAATTTAATTTTGTACAGCTTTTAAGACATTACAATTTCAAAAAAACATTCACTCAAAGTTCAGAGCATTGAGTATATATGGTGCGATTATGCACCATATCAAGAACCCATGCATGCTCAGGGAGAAAATGCAAACACCATGCAGAAAGATCCGAGGCTGGGAATCAAACCCAGAACCCTCTTGCTGGAAGGCAGCAGTGCTAACCACTGTTCCACTGAGCAGCCCCCGTGCATATTCATTTTAACTTGGCCTTGGTGATTGCTTTTAATTAAAACAGAGGTTCATTTCTTGGATGGAAGGAATCAGCTAATCATAAAGTCTTCATAGTTGTCACATATCTTGTTGATGTCTTGCACTTGGGACTGATGTGTCTTTCGTTTTCCTCCCAACAACACACCTTTTCCAGAAGTCCACAACCATCTGGAAGATCAAAAGAACAAATATGGATATTTGTCAAAGCAAGTGGTTAGATACCTCACCACTCGTAAGCAAGAACTAACATGTTGATTTCACACAAGAAATGGGGAATTTATCATTAATTATCTAACTGACAATGAAATATCATTATTCATTAATCGTCATTAAAATATTCATAAAAACATACAATTGTGACAACCCAATCACCTTAAGGTCCAGACCACGAAGTCTATACTGTATATAACACAAAGGTGTTCTGTTTAAGAGTCCAGAACCCTGGAGGTGACTGAGAGGATAACCTAAGGAGAAAATAATATAAAACATCACATGCTGCGCTCCCTTATGTTTTAATAATATCTGGAAGTACAGAAAACCTTTACAATTCCCCTTGCCTGAAGCTAGTGTGGGCTGCATATTGTCCTGTAATTCAAAAATCGCTGGTGGTGTCTAAGTTGTTCCTTTGGAGCATTACAGCTGCAGGGCAGTTACTCAAATAAACCTAAAAAGTATTGGTAAAAAAGTAACTGGTGTGCTTCCCTTTGATGCATTGAAAATTGCACTACAATTTATTTTCACTACTCTAATAAATTGAATAAAGCACACCAATGCATAGACATTATTATTTGAATTATTACTAAATTTCATGTCTCCCTGAATGTCGCTGACAGGGCTGAAGATTTTTCATGGATTTATTTTAACATTGAAGCAGTGATGGGGACCAGGAGGTCATAACCTGAGCCTGTTGTCTCAGATAGATAAGAGTTGTAGGTTTAATCAGTGGTGCAGCTCCTGGAGGGATTCCTGGATTCTGCACTAATCTTCAGAGACAGCACTGTCCAGAACCCACCAACAGCTAGGAGAACATTTACAGCTGCAGCAAATGAGGTTGGAAAAAAGCTGCTCATTCCATCAATCCCAGTTAGTGTCTGTGAGGCCAACACAATGTGCTAACATGCTGTGCTCTGAATAGATGAGGGTAGGCAGTAAAGGTAGGTTTACAGTTGAGTCATGAGGTTCACGTCTATATTTACTTAAAAATTTCAAGATGTTTAATCGTTTTGTGTAATAATGGTCTGCTGGAGCACCTTAATCTACCATACTTCTAACCGACCCTCAGATGAACATAGATACATTATACAGAGGAAAGCTAACAAAGCATGCCACATGCACGTGAATCCAATGGTACCGGTAATCTTTTTCATCTGTTTTAAATCAGTGAGGTTGGAAACCAAGAAATAATTTTTTGCTACCAAGTACACATTCACACTCAATGTACAATGAAGTCAACTCAATTCTTCTTTTTGATTATACAGAGAGAGCATAGTGGTCAAAGAACCATAATTATTAATGATAGTGTTATATTACATAAAGGGGATGGGTTAGGGTTAGGATCCATCCACAGTCTACTGCTGATTGTTTTCCAGCAGTCTATGGACAAAAGGAAGGGCACAATCCAGACAGGTCCATCAAAGTCCATGAAGGGGGGTGGTGGCCTAGTGGTTAGGGCATAGGGCTTTGAATCCTGAGATTGTGAGTTTGATCCCCCACTGCCACTCTGGTTCCCTGAGCAAGACCCCTAACCACACACAGCCTGGGTGTCTCACAATGGCACCCCACTGCTCCCCAAGGGGATGGGTTAAATGCAGAGAAGTAATTTCCCTCTGGGATTATTAGACTATATAAAATAAAATAAAAACAACTGGGAACATAGAGACATCCATCCGTCTATCCATCCATCCATCCATTTTCTGTCACGCTTATCCCAGTTAGGGTCGTGAGGGGGGCTGTGCCTATCTCCAGCTGTCTACGGACGAGAGGCAGGGTACACCCTGGACGGACAGGTCGCCAGTCAATCACAGGGCTACACAGAGACAAAAACGATTCAAACACACACCTAAGGACAATTTAGAGAAACCAATTAACTAACAGTAATGTTTTCTGGATTGTGGGAGTACCTGAAGAGAACCCACTCATGCTCAGGGATAACATGCAAAAAGAGCCATGCCAAGAATGGCAGAAACCCAGATCTTCTTGCTGCAAGGCAGCAGTGTTACCCACTGCCTCAATAAGCAGCCACATAGAGACATATAGAGTAATTTTATCCTTTAAGTTTCGAGAGTTCAATATTAGATTAAGATTTGAAAATTCAATCTTTAATTGTGAATTTGCGATAACCCAGATATGATTTAAAATCTATTTTGAATGTGTTTATTAGAGTTGTAAATTGACTAGAGTCTGGCAATGAGATACCTATCAGAATACCATGTGTGATATATCATGTCATTGTACGATTTATTACAACATAATATTGTACAGTAATAAAGACTATTTTTTTATAATAACATACTTGTTTCAAACCTCATAAGGTTATTTATTATGTGATACGGAACTTTAGGCTATGAGGTTAAATATAGATAGAGCCCATAAAAAAGTCTAAAAATAAGATTTCAGCTCCTGCACTGAAAGAATTGAAGAATCTTTTGATCTGCTGCAACTTTTTCTTCAGTTCAGGTAGCGAAAAACAGAAACAGAGACACCATTTCCCTGAAAGAGACCACAGCTAACTGGAAGTACACACTTCCACGAATGACACCACTGATCATTTCCCCTCTCATTCTGAGAACTCAATGCTTATTCAGTGTCTGCTTGTCAGCTTCTTTTTCTGTGAATATCGAAAACTACCACCAAAAGTTGTCTGTTCTTAATTTAACAGCCAGTAACATACAGTTGAAGGTCTTTAAATAGAGAACCTTGCATGAGAATTCAACCTCTTCGATTTAGCCTGATAGATCATATTTAAAGCCAAATCAACTAAACTTCTGAGTGTATAAAACATATGTTAACCTGACAGCATGCACAAAGCTGGTCTACCAACCAGATGCATACAGGGTTTGCATATGAGTAGAATAAC